TTATTGGATTCAGTTTTAGAAATTGAACTATTTGAAACACACAAACTTAAAAAACAACAAATGGTCTGGTAGCACTTTATAGACTAACAAAACACGTAGATGGTATCATGAGCTTTCATGGGCACAGACACAGTTTGACACAAGTTGAATATAGATCAATTGGTAAAAGTAAAAACTTCTAATAAGAAGCCCAAGTTATAAATGTCAGCCCATATTAGCTGTTGAAATATTCCAATTGGGTAAACATCAACATCTGACACTGTTTTGAAAGCTTTGTCCTAAACTTTGCATAGTTAGTGTCTGACTTTTAGAGTGCTACATCCATGAACTTCAGTGGGTGTTGCAGGTTCTCCATATCTTTTGGAATCAGCCATAAATGACAGTGAGATTTAAGAGTAATATCACTTTCCAACAATACACAACTACCCAGCCAAGCTGACCCTGTTGAACATTTCTTAGTGCTGCAGTAGCACCCATCACCTAGGTTTCTGAAGAAGGGTCATCTCAAGAAGTAGGCTGTGTCCACGAAAGCTCATGATACCATCTACATGTTTTGTTAGTCTATAAAGTGCTACCAGTCTCTTTGTTGGTTTTTTTTTAAAGTTTTTCGGGTTTCTTTGTTAGTCATTTTATTGTTGTTAAAGCAAATGAATTGATATTTAAATACATGTCTAGCAGACCTAAGCATACACTTGCTGCAAAGGGATGAGAGAACTTAGTGTACACTATGAAGCCAATACCACTGTACTAAATTGTGTGACTATACATTTTTTGTTTTAGGAATGATTGGCTTTGTTTAATAGACATTCCAGAGCCGTTCATTTTTATTATAGCTTCAGAGCAAAATAAACTGATGCATTTTATACCTTACATTTTTCTCTTAACTGGCATGCTTTTGTTTGTAAACAGTAAGCAAAATTGTAACACAACAAAATGTGCTTGGTAAACTGAATTTATTGGGCTAAAAGAATAATCCTAGCAACATGACATTTTTTTCTTTTGTCTCTTTGTATTTAGCTGTCCCAACTTGGGCAGAAATAGGATTCAAAAACACCATTATTTGAAACTACCTGGCAATGTGGAAATGTGAAGAAAAAGATCATGACAACAATCAGATGACCCCTTCATACCTATAAACTTGTTATAACATTAAAACTTAAACCGTTCCATTAATCTGATAATTTTTAAGGAAAGACTGTACTTAATGTAATGTATATGAATAACAGAATAACATTTCAAAAATAAAACTTAATGTGTATTCTATCTGCTGTTAACGTGTGTGGTTGGTGCCTTTTACATTTTTTAGATTGCAAATATATGTAATTGTGGTATGTGTATGACTTCAGTGCAATAGCAAATGTAGTAGAAGCAAGACCTACCTGCAGATTATATCATTTATCAAGTACCATACGTATCCCTTACTACTTGTTACAGTAACTGTCATAATAGTTTTAAACAAAAATTGAAAAATTACGAGAAAATTGCTTAACTTAAAGAAATATATTCTCCTTTTGAAAGCCATCTTTATATAAAAGAATGGAAGAAGTCCAAACTGCATTTTTAGACAAGAATGTTTATCATGAAAATCAGGAGAATTCCAGTAACAATGTCTCAAGAAAGGGAAATAGTAAAATCATAAGAACCTTATGGATATGCTTCGTGATACCAACAAATGAAAAATGTTTTAGATGTTTTTAAACATTTCATATGAACATAAGAATTGCCATAGTGAATCAGACCAGTTGTCCATCTGGTCTACCATCCTGTCTCCTACAGTGGCCTGAACCAGATGTTTCAAAGGAGGCAACAACAAACTCTACAGAAGGTTATAGCCTCGGTCTATCAACCCATGCTAGAGATCAGCTTTTGCCCTGAAATAAATGAATTTCCAAAACTACAATATTTCTTATTAGAAGATTTATCTGGAGTTGCTTGGGTCCTTAAATAAGTTTTCCTTTTCTTCATTTAAATATATTCTTTCTCTACAATATAACTCCCTCCTACCAGACTCCTCCCTTTCTGTTTTATAAGAAAGAATCAAATTCCAAGCACATCCCATTGTCTTGGCATAGCCAAAACCTTACTCTGCTTTTTAGTGATAGAAATGTAGTCGTGTTAGTCTGGTGTAGCTGAAGCAAAATACAGGACTATCTTATAGACTAACTTCAGTTAGTCTATAAGGTGCCACAGGACTCCTTGCCGCTTTTGCAGATTCAGACTAACACGGCTACCCCCAAAATACAGGACTATGTAGCACTTTAAAGACTAACAAGATGGTTTATTAGATGATGAGCTTTCATGGGCCAGACTCACTATTTGATCTGAAAAAGTGGGTCTGGCCCACGAAAGCTCATCATCTAATAAACCATCTTGTTAGTCTTTAAAGTGCTACATAGTCCTGTATTTTGCTTCTGCTTTTTTAGTTATGATAAAAGGAAGCATCATATCAAATTTGGTGGTGCCATTTAGGAAGAGTTCTTGAACAAATGGATTCAAAGACTGATGGACAGACAGACACACACACACACATTTCTAAAATATATAGGAATATTATAACTTCAGACATTCTTATCCATATAAATACCCCATCAGTTTCTGAATCTTAGATACAATATTTTGTTGCAAATGTTTCTGCTGGCTAATTGTGCATTGTGTAAAAACTGTTTCGTTTTAGCAGTTTTAAGATCCTCGACCTCTTTGGTGCCTCCTTGCTTCCCCTTCTAGCATCTACAGTAGTCTTAATTACAGACAAAAACTTATCTCATTTTTTCACAAATATCATCTGCTTTTTTAAATTGCCTTTGTTCCATCTTTTGCTTTACCCGGTAGTTGTGTATGTTAGGTAGCTCCAGTCATAAGTCTCTGATGTGGTCCTTTGTGTTTGTGAACTCTTTGCTAATTAGTTTTTCAGAAGTCTTCAATGCAGTTCATTTGGCTGTGTATTAAGATTCTGACATTTTTTTTCAGCTGTTAACCTGCTCATTAACTGCCTGTCCAGTCAAAATTTCAGCATGAAACATGGTCCTCCTCCTAACTCATATTTATCTTTTTTTGTAGTATCATTAAATGTGTAGATGTTTTTATTGGATATTGTAACAAAAACTGTTTAAAATGTAACTTCTTCATGAATACTCAAAAATCACAAAACAGCTCTTACTACTGTGTAAGTCTAAAATTGAAATACATTATAACTATAGCATTTAATGGGAGAAGTTGGTTCAGGGAATATTTTTAATGCAAATTTTTCAGGTGGGCTTAGCCACAGAATACATAGGGGAATTTCTTAATTAGAGCAGCCTGTAATGGCTGAATTAATATTGCCACTTCCCTAAAATAGAATACTTCTACAAGAGGTAGCTCTCAGCCTACCCTACCTCAGAGAATTGAATGCTCTCTGACCAAAGCAGTGGCACTTGAGAGGAGGCAATTTCTTCAAATGAAATAAGTACACAACATATCAAACTAGAGGTGGTTCTTCCTGAGTGGAGTTCTTTGGAGAAAGGAGGCAACTATCTTATATCTTACATGTGTTGTGTGTGCACGCATGCATATTTTAATATTTTTATTTAAGAACTGTGAGATTGTGTGATTCCTTGTTTTAAAGGTGTAAATTTTTCAGGATTGCTTCTCCCCACAACCTTTGAATTTTTCAGCTACATTCTTTGTGATCATTTAACCCAGATTGTTGAGGATATGTGCTTTGCATTCTACGGTCCTTATGGTTTCACGCAGAGTTGATGTGGTTGTGTTCACATCAGGAAGTAACAAAGGCATGTATAATTGATCCCAGGTGATATGCCAAAGTGGGACAGAGCCTTCTTAGCATCTGTGGCTGGCAAAGAGCATTATTCATGGATGCTGTTATGTGAACATTTAGCATTAGCAAATAATCCAGGAGCACTCCTAAACTATGGACTGAACCATCCAATTGTGGCTGTGTATCTTCAAAAGACACTGGACTGGAACTGTAAACTCTGCAAATGCCTTATTTTCTGGGGTGGGGGTGGATGTGTCCAGCTATGAATAGCTGCTTATGTATGGGCTAAAATCTGTTTAGGACAGTGTTCAATTTATATATATGCGTCAAGCAGCTTTAATTTCAAATATTGTTCAATATTTAAACCACAATTTAGGCAAACTTAGTTCCATTTCACACGTTCTGGAGTTATCTATTGTTCCATGAGTGATTCACGTAGTCATTTTATTTCCTAATTATGTAGAACCCAGTTAACCAAGACAAATTTACCCTTCCTTATAATTACCATCCCTTTTTGCAGGCCAAACTGAGTATGATTAAGCTACGTGCTTCCAACAGTACAGTGACTAGTACTGTCTAAATCACCAAAGTTGTGGTTTCACTTGTATCCAGTTTTCTGATATCTTTTCATCTCTATGCAACCTTATAATCTCTGATTTCTCTTTGGTTGCTCTCCAGGATCAATAGAAATCAACCATATGGGATATCTCATTGTCGTCACCTGTTCTCTCCTTAACTTGTTTTTCTCCCTCATTTAAAAAAAAAGTTCGAAAAGGGAGATGTTTAACTCTTTAGACATGGGACAGGTTGTCAAATACTCAGCAAAATTCATTTCCTATCTTCCAAGCATCTACAAGCAACTTCACAGCTGCCCCTTAAAGCTTTGCTGTATATACTTGGTGATTTGCTACTTGAGTGGTGCATATATTTTATTATTAAATAAAGCTTTAATATATTTCTAACTAAATGTATTGTTCCCCCAAAATGCACACAGTGTGATTTTCATGTTTGATATATTCCACACCTTACGTTCTGTGTCAGTATCGAAACCCACATACAGTAGATTCTTAGAGTTATGAACATTTCAGGAATGGAGGTTCGTGACTCTGAAATGTTCATAATACCGAACAAAATGCTACAGTTCTTCTAAAAGTTTACAGCTGAACACTGACTAATTTCAGCTTTGAATCTTTGTTATGCAGAAGAAAAATACCACTTTTAACCTTCTTAATTTAAATGAAAAAAGCAGTTTTCTTACCTTGTCAAATCTTTTTTTAAACTTTTCCTTTTTTTAACCTAGAGTACATTTAACATGTTTCTGCAATGAATTTGCATTTTTTTCCTCTATGCTGATGCCTGATTGTGTATTTCCAGTTCCAAAGGACCAATCAATTTGTAACTGTTGCTTGTAACATTATGATTCTACTGTATTTTACTGAGGCATCTCTTTGTGAAAATTCCTACAGCATTTTATTGGTTTTTCCAGCATCACTAGAATATTTCTTGTTCCTGTTCAGCAGCCCGTCTCCAAAAGAGATCAGTAGCAGAAAAGGAATGCAAGGGAGCCTGCAGGGAAACCACTTAGTCTCCTCCTTCATTCTAGAGGCAACTGAGGTTGAGAGAGCACAAGCCCCTTACCACAGTCAGTTTCCATGCAGTCACCTCATCCTTTACGGTTTCAAAGCTCTTTATGTGAAAGACAGATTTGGGCCATGAATGGATAAGACCCTAAGACTTTAAACCAAATAGCTCAGCACTTTTGATGCTGCTAATTACACTGATGCTGAGTGGCAGCTGAGGCTCCGTAAATGTCAGACCAGTTCTTGCTTAGCTTCCTCTGTAGCACTTCCCACATAGTTTGCTGCTGCTATCTTACACCATAAAGAAAACTTAAAGGAATTTCTGTGGGACACTTATTTAAAAGAGAGAGGAAAAAAATATATAGGAAAAAATCTACTGTTTTCTGAATTACAACTTTTCAGACGCTGAGGGAGTGGTGCTGATGGACAGCTCCAGCTTATTGCATAGTAACAAGTCTGGGTTTGCTGTCTCAGAGGATTGGGAAACCTTCATTGGAGTCTACTTACTTGTGCTGGGTAAGTAAAAAGCAGGTTTATGCTGCGTTTCAAATTTTATTTTCTGTTGTTTGCTCTGAAGAGAGACATGCAGTCTGCTCATTATGAGTTTGTTGTAAATCAGAATACTTGTGCCTTCTCAAGGGTAAGTTGACTCTTAGGTAATTTGAAAAATTGCAATTATTTAAAAGCAAAGGAAGCAGACTTTACCAATCATCATGCTTGTATATTTGTTATCTACAGACTAATTCACAATTTGAAACTCATAATTTATTTATTTATTGTTATTTGTTGCTGCTGTTAAATTTTGTTGGATATATTTCAAGTTGTTTACTTTATCACTATAAAAATCCAGCTAAAAATAAATGAGAAATTAATAGCTTTCAGAAAGTCTGAAAGTCTAATTTAAAAGTGTATTCAGTAGTGTAAAATAGAAACTTGAAATGAGTGGGTAAGGGAATGAAAAGTGAAGACCAGTTCTTTACATTCATGCCCTTCATAGCATGGTGCTACACTGCTGCTTCATAGCATAGTACTACATAGGATTTCACAATAAGAAAATCGAATTTTCTTCCTTTCCCTGAGAATAAGTAGTTATCAAAAACTGCTGGGATTGTTCCACATTATCTGTAACCATCTGGGAGGATTATCAAAAACATCTGTTCTTTTTTGGTCTGGAATACAAGCCACAAACCTACAATACTGTTAAGTAGGAAAGATCTTTGTTTATTGCTGGAGATATGAATCAAACATTTTGGATTCCAAAAGCTTTACTACTAAACCTGAACTGAGTAGTTTTTACATTCTGTTTCAATTATGTACAATAATAGCTACATGCATGAATAGCTTTATAAAATAGCAAACCTAAATCTACTTTAATTCACGGAATGAGTAAAAAAAAAATCACAGAAAATAGAACAGGATTTTGAAATTAAGAATAATATACAAGGTCGTCTTCTTCCTATGTAGACTGAATACAGAAATCTATTCATTGTCTTTAAAAGCACACAGTCTATAATGGTGAATTGGAATTGTAGGATTATTTTCTAACTCAAGATAAATAGTTTCATGTGCAAAATGTGTGTGAAGCCATTGTTTAGTTTACATCATGGCTTCCTCGATGCCAAATATGAATGAGCTAGACTCAAAATGACCTCAAGTAGGCCTTTTAGAATCTTAATTAACTTTGACCTGCCCAATTTTGATCCTGGATTCTTGATATGTATAATATATGTGCCCCTATGGATTCTTTTACCTAGTCTAGCCATAAATACTTTTTAAATGTAGTCTATTTTCATGCCAAAGTTTTCATAACTATTAATGTGTCTTCACTGTCTTCCTTAAACAGAGTAGTGCTGGGGAAACAATCTCTAAAATGTATTAATTTTTGAAGTCCCAAACTGGAACAGTTTTGACAGCCATTTGATCAGGTTTGGGAGAATCACACGCAGGCCATTACACTTGAAGAAACTTTGCAAGCAACAGCAAACAGAGAATTTCTAATTTATGGAAACCCGTATATTCTGCAAAAAAACCCAAAATGTATGCTAAATATTTGGATTTAATTTCCAGCAACAATAATGAAGTAACACTAAAATTGTACCCTTCCTAAAACCCCAACAGTTTCAGACAAGGCCAGAATATGGTATATGTGCCACCATAAATCATGTGATTTAATTTTTCTGAATGGCAACAAACTGCTAGTTTGACATTCCTCTCCCTTCTCCTATAAACAATATCTTCCCACAGTTACCATATATTATGAGATCCCAATGGAAGGCTGTACTTTCCAGCAATTCTGGGTAGGGGCAACACCACAGTATTTAAAAGTCCAATACATTTGAGTCAAATTTCTAGAAACATTTTTCTCTTTGTATTTTGGGAGAGTGACTGTCTAGACTGATGGCTGATGGAAAGACTTCTCATGCTGTTTCTAGTTTTCTCATAAACTGTTCAAAGTGGCTTTGATTCTTTTATTAAGGTTTTGGAGATGTGAAAAGTCCATTCAGTGTAATTTGCATTGCTGAGTCATAGAATCATAGAATACTAGGACTGGAAGGGACCTCGAGAGGTCATCGAGTCCAGTCCCCTGCCCCCACGGCAGGACCAAATACTCTCTAGACCATCCCTGATAGACATTTATCTAACCTACTCTTAAATATCTCCAGAGATGGGGATTCCACAACCTCACTGGGTAATTTATTCCAATGTTTAACTACCCTGACAGGAACTTTTTCCTAATGCCCAACCTAAACCTGCCTTGCTGCAGTTTAAGACCATTGCTTCTTGTTCTATCCTCAGAGGCCAAGTTGAACAAGTTTTCTCCCTCCTCCTTATAACACCCTTTTAGATACCTGAAAATGGCTATCATGCCCCCCTCAATCTTCTCTTTTCTAAACTAAATAAACCCAATTCTTTCAGCCTTCCTTCATAGGTCATGTTCTCTAGACCTTTAATCATTCTTGTTGCTCTTCTCTAAACTCTCTGCAATTTCTCCACATCTTTCTTGAAATGCGGTGCCCAGAACTGGACACAATATTCCAACTGAGGCCTAATCAGCGCAGAGTAGAGCGGAAGAATGACTTCTCGTGTCTTGCTCACAACAAACCTGTTAATGCATCCCAGAATCATGTTTGCTTTTTTTGCAACAGCATCACACTGCTGACTCATATTCAGCTTGTGGTCCACTATAACCCCTAGATCCCTTTCTGCCATACTCCTTCCTAGACAGTCACTTCCCATTCTGTATGTGTGAAACTGATTGTTCCTTTCTAAGTGGAGCACTTTACATTTGTCTTTATTAAACTTCATCCTGTTTACTTCAGACCATTTCTTCAATTTGTCCAGATCATTTTGAATTATGACTCTATCCTCCAGAGCAGGCGCAATCCCTCCCAGCTTGGTATCATCTGAAAACTTAATAAGTGTACTTTCTATGCCAATATCTAAATCGTTGATGAAGATATTGAACCGAGCCGGTCCCAAAACAGACCCCTGCAGAACCCCACTTGTTATACCTTTCCAGCAGGCTTGTGAACCATTAATAACTACTCTCTGAGTACGGTTATCCAGCCAGTTATGTACCCACCTTATAGTAGCCCCATCTAAGTTGTATTTGCCTAGTTTATTGATAAAAATATCATGCAATACCGTATCAAATGCCATACTAAAGTCTAGGTATACCACATCCACTGCTTCTCCCTTATCCACAAGACTTGTTATCCTATCAAAGAAAGCTATCAGATTGGTTTGACATGACTTGTTCTTTACAAATCCATGCCGGCTGTTCCCTATCACCTTGCCACCTTCCAAGTGTTTACAGAGGATTTCCTTAATTACTTGCTCCATTATCTTCCCTGGCACAGAAGTTAAACTAACTTCTTGTTCAACCTTCTGAAATAAAAAGTCTCCAATGCAGTCCAAGAACTTATTGGAAAGTCTGTGCCCTGCTGTGTTATTTTCCCAACATGTATCTGGATAGTTGAAGTCCCCCATCACCACCAAATCTTGGACTTTGGATTATATTGTTAGTTGTTTAAAAAAAGTCTCCAGATAACTCCTCTCTGAAAAGCTTTTTTTTTAGCAACAGTGAATTCTCTGCTCCATAAATGTAGAAATTGGAAATACAGTGTTGGCAATTTGTTATGCTTCTGTTCCTTAATTCCTGGACAAGGTCTTGGATCAATTGCTATTTTGTTTGTGAATCTGAAAAACAGGCTGTTCTTCTAGTGCTTGCTCATGTCCATTTCACAACAGGTGTACATGCTTGTTGCATACATTGGTGCCAGAAGTTTTTCCCCTACCAGTATCCATAGAGCACCTCTTTCGGCCCCTGGATTGGTATCTTCATAGCACAGTTAAAAGGGGCTCTGCGTATTCTCCCTACCCTCACAAGAGCCAGAACTCTACCACATAGCAAAGATCTAGCCTTAATGCAATACAATATGATGTGTATTAATTAATTAACATGGAATTTAAATAATACAAAAAAAATCTGTTAAAAGAATCTGTGATAGACTGCTGGCTAAGCCAGAGCTCTGTCACTACAAACTAGCTGAAAAGGGCAATGGAAACCAGCTGATCAAGACAATGCTTGAGGGTCTAATGGGAAGCAGCTGTAGGCCTCATTAGCTAGAGGGCTAGATAAGGCAGCCAGAGGGGAAGTGAAAGGAGAGGAGCCAGAGAGTGACTGTATGTGCTCCCTAACCAACCAGAGAGGCTAGCTGAGTTTGCTGCAAACATAAAAGCTCTGTAAATAGAAGGTGGTGCGAAATTAGTACTGACAATAAAAGGCACAGCTGATTGCACCAGAAAGGGCCTCCGGTTGATTTGTGGACAACGAAAGGGTCCCCCGTTAGCTGAGCTCCCTGTCTGCACAGGAGTTCTGAACCTCTGAGCTTGGTTCAGAAAACAGCTGCACAGCCACGCAGCTTACAGGGAACTTAGCTGGGAAGATGTGTGCACTATTGGAAACTCCCAAAAGAACAGAGATCTTAGGAAGATTAGTCTGACCACATTGTCTGCTTGAGTCTCTTGACTTTTCATCACAAATTGTAAATTCATTTGGAGATTATTTGCAATGAAGATTTAATTTACTAATTGCAGCCACCTGAGACTCTCTCTGCTCTTGTCAGACTTCTGGAAATTCCTTCCATTATTGTTCAATATATTTCTTACCTGTTCTGTCACAGTCATTATCCTGTAGTTCAAAACTGATGGGACTCCAAGTCAATGATAAAACTTAATGAATGAGATGAGTCAATGACATGCCCCTGTTTTCCCTGCAAAAAGGAAGTGCAAAATACCAATTAAGATTTGTTTCAAATTGTTCTCCAGTTGTCCTACAGAACTTACTTTTAATTGCACAGGTTGGCTTTCTTGGCTTGGCAATGGAGTGGTGATCTTCATCTTGTACAACCAACGACATTCCCTGGATCCTCAGGACTATCTCACCTTCAATCTTGCAGTCTCAGATGCAGGCATTTCTCTATTTGGCTATTCAAGGGGCATTGTAGAGCTTTTTAATATTCTGAGAGATGATGGCTTTCTAATCACTTCAGTATGGACATGCAAGGTAACTGCATTATTTACAGTTCCAGAGTCTTAATCTTTTACTGAACACCAGAAGCCTAATCTAGTGACAGGAGAATGTAAGGATTTCTATTAAAAAAATTAATTTGGTAATTGGGTTTATTTTAGTCTTGCTGCTGGATTTTTCCTCTGGGGAAAAAAATAATAATCCTTTTCAATTGCTGTCCTTAAGCAAGATGTTTCTGTGCATGCAAGAACATAGTTAACCTAGAATCAGTGTGAATATTTAAAATAATCTTACAAAATCCTGTAGAAAATACTCATTAGGAACATACTCAATATTAATACTCAGTGTCGTGTTTTTTTCTGTGTGTTCTACCTTTGAGATATGCCCTTTATGCCAGGAATTTGGATTTTTTTTCTCCTTCTCTCCACCCCTTTTTGTTGTCAGATGGATGGATTTATAATACTCTTTTTTGGTCTAATCAGTATTCATACTCTGACAGCCATCAGTGTCATCAGATACATTAAAGGATGCCAGCCTCACCAAGGTATGTTAGCTTCTCTGACAAATATACACCTCACATGTATATTTTTATTAAATGTGTTGACAATATTATATACTTGATATAATTAAAATCAAGCCTAAGAATTAAATTGAAAATGTATGAACAGTTGTCTTTTTTATCTTGTTTAAACTCACATTTCCAGTATAATTTGAGATGCATTCATTAACATACTAAGCTTTGTTCTTTTATGAAAATCTAAACATTGTCCCACTGCTGAAAAACACTTTTTATAGGAGATATGGTAGCAACAGCTATGTTGAGTTGTGTGTGTGTTTTTGACCATGAATCCCAGATTTTCCAGGGAGATTAATTTAGTTATCTTTTACCTACAGCTCACAAAATTGATAGAAAAAATACTACCTTGACTTTGATTGTGATATGGGCAACTGCTCTTTTCTGGGCCAGTGCACCACTTCTAGGGTGGGGTAGCTATACAGGTGAGTGTTCATTTCTACAGAATTTCCAAATGGAGAAAAATGTTATATAGCATGTGTGTCCACTAAAAACAGTAGTAATCATTGTGCAACTCTACAGAATGTTACTGGACTGTGTGAGAATGAATAACCAGGTAATACTGAAACCAATAGTTAATTTATTTTCTCAATGCCACATTCCTTTGATAGTTAAGCAGTGTGCTTAATGAATAGAAAAACAAGGAATTAATATACATTTCTGTACGTAATAGTTTATTCATAAAGTCAGATGTGTCTGAATCTCATTTGGAAGAAGTCCCCTTTAGAACAGTCTGGTAGTTTGAACTTAATTTATGCCCACTTTAAGGCATTGGCTAGAATGGAGTACATACTGCCTTAGTGTAAATTAGAATTTTGTTTTCCAAAAAGTTTGTTAATATTAAAAAATAATATAGTCTGTATATCTTAAATGGGGAATAAATTTTGTTTTAAATAGTCACCAAGCATAAAAGTGAGGAAAACATAGCTTTTCTTGTATATGCCTCTATAAAGGCTTTGTAAAGAGCACATCAGTTTAATCCATAATTGTTTCACATAAAAAGATTTTCATCATACTTACTTATGTTCAATTTTTCCAGATCACAAATATGGAACATGTGAAATAGACTGGATCAAGGCAACATTCTCTGTTGTCTATAAGTCTTATGTGATTGGAGTCTTCATATGTGGCTTCTTTATTCCTGTCTCCATCATAATTTTCTGTTACATGTCAATAATAAAGGCTGTTAAATCAAGTCATAGGACTACAAGAGGTAAACAAATTAGCCAAAGGCAGCAGCACATGGAACGAAATATTACACAGGTAAAAGATAAATCTTTGCCTACAATATAGAATGTTACATGCATATTTTATGTAATTTAATTTTTAGAACAAATGCTAGATTTGACAGAAAAGAAAACCAAAATCCTTTTAACAATTCTGCAACAGGCACACCACTGGTATTGCAATTTTACCACATTTCCCTACCGACATACAATAATCTTTTTAAAGATGAGAGGACAGTTGGTCTCATTGCTCATTCATTTTTCAGTCATCTTCCTGAGTCTGCCAATAAGGTTATTAATGAGTACAAGTTGTGACATACTCCTCTCAGCAACACAAATTGAAACCACTACCTCATTTCACGTAGACTGTTGAGCAGACCTGATTTCCATTGACTCAGATCAGTTTTGAACTGGTGACCTAGATGGGAGGTAGATAATTATTAAACCCCCTAAGCCAGCCAATTCCTAACATTTGCAGTGTTTGTAAATGACACATGAAATAGTGTCTTCCTTATATATTAGAAATACATACATTCGGTTTGAGTTTGAAATGGAAATAGGAGACAGACATGTTGAAAATCTCTGGATAAAAATAAATGGGGTAAAACATGAATAATATCATGATAGGGGTCTACTAACAGACCACCTCACCAGGAAAAAGAGATGGATGAGGTTTTCTAAAACAACAAAACTATCTCAAGCATAATCATCCCAATCCTTGATGGTGATGAAGGATTTCAACTACCCAGACATCTGCTGGGAAAATAACACAGCGGGGCACCGATTATCCAACAAATTTTTGGAGTGTATTGGAAATAATTTTTTATTTTACAAGGTGGAGAAAGCTGGTAGGGCAAAGGCTTTTCTAGATCTTATTTTGATGAATAAGGACTAACTGGCTGAGAAATTTGAAAGTGAAAGGTAGCTTGAGTGAAATGGTAAAATCATGAAATAAGAGTTCTTGATTCTAAGGTATGGTGTAAGGGAAAACATAATACAGATAATAGATTTCAAGAAGGCAGACTTCAACAACCTCAATGAGTTGATTAGTAAAATCCCATATGAAGCAGTTCTAAGGGGGGAAAATAGTTCAAGAGAGTTGACAGTTTTTCAAAGACATTATTAAGGACACAAGAGCAAAGTGTCCCACTATTCAGGAGAGAGAAGTAGTATGGCAAGAAACTGTACCTGGCTTACTCAGATCTTCAGTGATCTGAATCTAAAAAAAAGGGTCCTACAAAATGTGGAAACTAGATCAAATTACAAAGGATGACTATAAATAGAATAAGGAAACTAGATCAAATTATAAAGGATGACTATAAATAGAATACCACAAATGTGTAGGCTCAAAATTAGAAAGGCCAACGCACAAAACGAGATTAAATTCTCTTGAGACATAAAGGGTAGCAGGAAGAATTTCTACAAATACATTTTAAGCAAAAGGGAGACCAAACACAAGTATACACATTATTAAATTAAATGGGAAAAAAACCATAACAGAAAATGTGGAAATGGCAGAAGTGCTAAATGAATTTTTGTATCAGTTTTCATTAAAAATGTTAGTAAGAATTGGACATGTAATATGGCAAATGCCAGTGAAAATGAGGTTAGATCGGGGTGGGCAAAAGCCTCTTAGTGGGCTGGATGCAGCCCACCTAGGGCTTTGATCTGGCCTGCACAGCAGTTCCAGGTCCCACTCCCTAGCCCATTGCATGGGGGCCAGAGATGTGCGAGCCCTTTTAACTGCTCCTGTTTAAAGGGCTCGCACCTTTTCCACTCCTGTTGGGCAACGTAGTGCCTGGCAGCTGCAGGGAAGGTGTGATCCCTTTAAATAGAAGTAGTTGAAAGGGCTCACGGGTCCTGGCTCCCTGGCAACGCACTAGTGATGTCAGAGCTACAAGCTCTTTAATTAGAAGCATTAGGCTGTTGCCTAGACACCAGGATGTGCGAGCCTTTTCAACTGTTTCTATTTAAAGGGCTTACACCTTCCTCACAGTTGCCAGGCAAAGTGTTGTGGGTGTGAGCCATTTAAATAAAAGCAGTTAAAAGGGCTTGCAAGTCCCAGCTCCTTAGCAATGTGCTAGTGGTACCAGGAGCTACAACCCTTTTAACTGCTTCTATTTAAAGGGCTCATGCCTGGGTTGCCTGGCAGTCACCCAGTAGGTGCAAGCCCTCTGGGAGCCAGGGACGCGCAGGCCCTTTCAGCTGCTTCTATTTAAAGGACTCTCACTCTCAACAGCCCCAGGGAAGGCACAAGCCCTTTAAATAGAAGCAATTGAAAGGGCTCTAGCATCCTCAGCTCCCAGGCAATGTGCTGGCAACAAGACCTTTAAATAGCAAGAATTGAAAGGGCTCGCAGCTCCCGTCCCCCATGAACATGATGCCTGGGAGCTGCAGAGGAAGCTCAAGCCCTTTCAACTCCTGCTATTTAAAAGCACTCTTCTTCCACCCGATGCTCTGCCCCTCCCGTCCGAGACTTGGCCTCTTCTGGGGTGGCCCACAACCATTACAAAAATATTTGAAGTGGCCCTCCTTCAAAAATTATTGCCCACCCCCGGTTAGATGTACACATTTACATTTCAACGTTCTACTCTAACCTAATGTAACAGCCCACTTGTCGTTTATGTGACTTACCAACAAGTCTTTAAAGGTCTACCCTGGGTCAGTCAGCCTATGAGCTGATTAAACCTTTCTAGCTATGACTAATATTTCAATCAGATAAGGTCAAGCTGGAAAAGAGCAATTACAGTGCCAATCTACAAAACAGGAAAGAAGGAGAAACCAGGGAATTACAGCCCACTCAGCTTAACTTCTGTTCCTGGATAGATAAAGGAGCAAAATAATTAAGCAATTAGTTTGCAAACACCTAGAAAATAATAAGATAAGTAACAGCCAGCATGGATTTGTCAACAATAAATTGTCAGACCAACCTAATAACTTTCTTTGACAAAGTAACAAGGTTTGTAAATGGGGGAAGAATTAGATGTGGTATCTTTTGACTTTAGGAAGTCTTTTGATACTGTCTCACATACCCTTCTCATTATCTAAGTAGAGAAATACTTCCTAGAGGAAGCTATTATAACCATTTGCAGAGAGCAGCTGTCAGTGGTTCACACTCAAAATGAAAGGGCATAGCTAATGAGAGCAGCTATCAGTGGTTCACAGTCAAAATGAAAGGGCATAGTTAGCGGAGTCCCTCTGTCCACCTCTATTCAATATCTTTGTCAATAATTTAGACCAATGGGGTTCTATGTTTGGCCCATGAGACATTTTGTTTACCATTGCCCACACACACAGGGTTCTCAGATTCTGCTGGTTTCCATCCACATAAGTTTTTTCCTATTGGTATTACTAACGTGACACACCTGTAAAGCAAGGTCATGTGAAGTGAAGTTTGTGCTGATTGCACATAACAGTGACTGGGAGAGCCATGTACTCCCTCTGCATCTGATCAAAGCACTGCTATGTTTCAGTTGGCATGCCCTGCAAATTTTAGGTATGCAAATGCAGTTTGCAAAACTACCCGATGAGAGAAACTGTCCTGGTTACAACAATCTTGTGGCCACTGGGATGAAGGAGGACCACTCATGTGGCCCACTCACCAGCAAGTTTCCCATCACAAATTTAGATAATGGTATAGAGAGTACACTTATAAATGTTGTGAACAATACTAAACTGAGAGGGGCTACAAGTGCTTTCGAGGACAGGATTATAATTCAAAATTATCGGATAAATGGACTGAGGTAAATAAGATGGAATTCAATAAGGACAAATGCAAAGAACTAAATTTAGGAAGGAACAATTATACACATACAAAATGGGAAATGACTGCATAGGAAAGAGTACTTCAGAAAGGCTTTTAGGGGTCATAGTGTATCACAAGCAAAATATGGGTAAACAGTGTGGAACAGTGTTGCCAAAACAACATTGTGGCATTTTAGCAGGGAATGTTGTAAGCAAGACATTAGAAATCATTCTTCCCTTTTCCATACACTGATTAAGTCTCAGCTGGAATATTGTGTTCAGGTCTGGGTGCCAGATTAAAGGTGTAGCAAACAACCTATGAGGGAAGATTAAAAATACTAGGTTTGTTTAGTCTGGAGAAGACAGAGGGGGGATATAACAGTTTTCAAGTAGATAAAAGGTTGTTAGAAGGAGGAGGAAGAGAAATAGTTCTCGTTAACCTCTGAGGTTAGGATAAGAAGAAATAGGCTTAAATTGCAATAAAGATGGTCTAGGTTGGACATTGGGAAAAACTTCCCAACTGTCAGGATGATAAATCACTGGAATGAATTGCCTGGGAGGCTGGAGATTTTTAAAAGCAACTTAGACATACAACCGTCAGGGATGGTCTAGCCATGACAGGAGGGGACTGCATTAGATGACTTCTCAAGGTCCCTTCCAGTCTTTTGAATCTATTATTCTAGCTATATGTTTGGCTTCCCCATTCAATACATACTATATTTGCTATCAATCACTTGCCACCATGTTCAAGTGAGTTCTTCAAAAGCAGAAATTATGAAGTTAACACTGGACTATGAGGAAGATATGCAAGTTTTCCACAAAAGCATGGAATCTCTGGATTGGTAGGTATACAAAACTGGGTACATTCTCCATTCTCCTGGATTTATATCACCAACAGTCTGGAAGCTACCGTTGTGATGTAGTAAATAGTGCCAAGGGTAGTAGGTGCAGATAAGATTGAATCCCACAACCAAAAATAAGAAATATCAGAAAAAACGACGACACTTATTTTGTAGAGTTTGTATGGAGGCTTAACATGTACTGGCCCACAAATTTAATCATAAGATCCCACAGCACTTCTCTGGCTATGAAGATTATACATAAACAGTAATAATGTATTTCTATAGAAACATCCCCTGCAAAACTAGCGTATGCTTCTTGTGTGTCTAAACTACACCCCTCTGCTGACAGAGGAATACAGGATCTCCCCGCTGTCAGCAGAGCCGCGGCTAGACTTTACTTTCACTTTCGAAAGGGCGCTTGATTGGCACAGTGCCCGAACGTGAGTATGCAAATGAAGCCCGGGATATTTAAATCCCAGGCTCATTTGCACTTTCGAAGTGCTTGATTTGCATCCTGCTGTTGGCAGAGGGATGCAGTCTGGAGGTAGCCCAAGAGCTATCTTGATCCCTATGGTAACAGAGAATATTGAGGCTTTTTTGCAGGTGTACTTTTTCTTTTGCCACTTGAGGCCATGACAAATGGCAGAAGTAATGGTGACAGGCTATACAATCTAGGGAACAAAGAGTTCTGAAGGAACCAGTCAGTCTTCAGGAAGGTCAGGCACAAGGAAGAAAAGATAGAAACAAGAAAAATGGAAAAAAGCACCCTAATTTGAGAATCTGCCATTTCATCAATGGTAGCAGTGAAACTGGAACTATATACCACAGAATGGCCGTGGTTCATATCAAATGTTCCAGCTGCCTCTCTCATTGGTATGGCCAAGACCAACCCAAATGCACCTTCAAGATGGGAGCAGGTACAAACACATGACAACTAAATTTTGATTTTTTTAAACTAATCTTTAGTAAACGTCATCCCCCAAATAATCATATATCATAGCATATATAATTTAATAAATTAACTAGGGGGCTGCACCCTCTGCTTGCTATGCTTACCTACATCCATTCTCTCTGGCCACTTTCATTTTCCATTTTGCTGTTGACGCTGAGTATGCTGATGATGTGATGACATCATTCTGTCACCCAGCAGGAACATTCAGCCATCTAGCAGAAAAAACTTTTTTATATATAGAGAGAAATAATAATAATGAATAATAAAGCTAGATATCCTTGAAGACAAGGAGCAAGGGTAGAAAAAAATCAAGACCCTCTTCTATTGGTGTGACTGTTAAAATAAGGAAACCTCCATCTGGGTAATATCTTAGATAGTATGATGCTGACCATACTAAAAATCCATAAATTAACTAAATGTCTTGGAAATTTTAAATTATATTTCATTTCTTTGATGCAAAGAGCTCTTTATGAATGGGCATTTCTAACCTACCCAGCCTCTGAAAATTCATGTATTTCAGGTTCAAATTAGACTTTTCAATGTTTTTTGTACTTGATTAAAGATTTGCTTTGCTCTTATTGCCACCACATTGCATGTTCTTATAATCTCTGAGACATTTATCAAATGACGACACAATTTGCTGGCCGTACATCATTTCAGTCAACCAAAAAAAAGTCTCCATCATACAGGTTTTGTTTTATTATTTTCATTCTCTTAGATCACTTTGATTATGAAATATAGTATCTGTAAAAGAAATACCTGGTACATTTGAATACTCACATAAGTCTATTAAGTCCATGTACTTTGTAACCATGTCAATGGTGTTCTACCTAACTGATACATAAAGGGAGAATTATTGTGATGGAAGCTGCCCCCTCCCCTGAGCAACAGGCTGCGGAACAGCAGACAAAAGCAGCCTCTCCGCCCCTCCTCCCCCTATACATGCTGGGCTCCCTGGGCAAACAAAGACTCCACCAAAACAAACAAAGTGCTGGCCTCATTGTGTTAGCAAAAAAAGGACCCTCCTCCTAGAACCCTGGGTGGTGTGTGGAAATAAAGCTATTAGCTCAAAGCATGGTGCAGAGCTGTTTGGTATTTGATGAGTTACTCTTTTAGTCCTGAGTTTGTCACAGGGACAGAAATAGATGTGAAATCTTCTGAACAGGGGAACAGACAGCAAAACAAACATTAGAGGGGAGTTAACCTTTCCCTATGCTATCCAAAACTAAAAAAAATGTTTGGCTAGAGTTTCCCCTACAATATGTACCAGTTCCGACTTACATACAAATTCAACTTAAGAACAAACCTACAGTCCCTATCTTGTACGTAACCCGGGGACTGCCTGTACATTGAAGTTTACACTTAATTTGTCGTCTTTTTTCCAGACCCATTTTCCAGTTAATGAATGACCAAAATTATAGTCCAATTGTGTTTGTAGGAGACTCAGATACTCTTCCATAGCTTTTTAATTGATTGTGCTTAGCTGAGAGAAAGAGAGGCAGAATCTTCCTTTAATTTTGGTATATAAGGGTTATGGCTTTATTAAAATGCCTTTTGGCTAATTAGGTATTTTAGTAGTTACAAAATGCAGAAGAGGTTCCAAAAGCTGAAATAGTTCTAAAATCATGACACACAGACGTGCTGTTTTGAAGCTCTCATGTTCTTTTTCCTTCTTAGGTATCATTTGTAATTTGTTTTGCCTTTTTCCTGGCTTGGTCTCCATATGCAGTCATCTCTATGTGGTCAGCATGTGGGTTTCAAGTGCCAACACTCGCCAATATCCTAGCCAGCCTTTTTGCCAAATCTGCCAGTTTTTACAATCCATTCATCTACATGGGCATGAGCTGTAAATTCCGTAAAGACATCAGAAACCTTTTCCAGTGTCTCAGCCGAAACAAGGACTCAAGTCTACAGATGCCAGTATTGATATTCAATCAAAGAAATGAGGCAGCTGTGCTCCTAAACCTACAGAGAGATTTTGTGTCCAAAGTTTATGAGGCTGAAGCACCAGGCTTAGAAATGGATTCAGTGCCCAGAGATAATCATTTGGCACAGGAGAACCCTACATTTTGTTCTCCTGTTTATAACCAACTTACCACTTTTGAAATAAAACCAGTTCAAAGGAAACAGAGTGGATCAGGATGACTCTGATCTGGAGAAGGTGAAATAAGGACTACTACTTTCACTGAAGATTAGATTTCCACAGCAAATGACCTTTGTCCCTTGTCCTCATCAATCAGCTAATATTTCACATATATTTAAAACTTCTCATGTACAATTTTCCAAATACTATAAAAAAGTAGCAAAATTGAAAATTGGTTCATGAAGCCTAGTTTTCTCCTTTAAAAAAAATAATAGCACATTACTATAATTAAGGTATTTGTTTATTCCTGGCAAATTGTGACTGTCAATGAATATGTCCTGTAAATTGATCCCAATTCTATTCCTATTTTATTGTATTCCTTTTTTTCCCCTCTGTGGTATGATTACATACTGGTCCAGAACCCAGGATCTTACTGTATATAGCCTAAGACTAGTGCTAAATATGCTGAGCTCTGCTAGAAGCCAGTGACAGGCCAAGATCCACTATCTCCTAAACTGCCACAGGGAGACACATGTTTTGTACTACTCCACAAAGATGAAGATGAAGATTTTCAGTGAAATATAAAGTGGATTTTACTAGCCTCACAGGTCAAGATCATTGCACATTCCATCTTAGATATGTTGCTACACAGTTTACAAGAATTTTCCTAATAAGGGACCCAGAGCTGATCCTTCACTGCCCTAAACCCAGCCCCATATATGCCTCCTTCCACCACCTCTCCAACACCCATCCCTGTGCTGTCCTCATCTTGCACCCAGCCCTGAGTACTTACCCAGAAAGGCAAAAGAGCTCCATTCCAATCATGGGCCAACTAGTTCTATGAGCCCCAGATCCTCACCTCTTCGTGAATTTCCACTTTTTCAAGAAGTACCAAAAAACTGGATCCTGCCCTTCTGGAGAGTAGCACCTTGGTACCCCATCTCTGCTTTTCCCTAGGAATTGGGGCATCAGAAGAACCACAAAGGGAGGAGGCAAGTAGGAAGTCAAAGTTGTAATGCCAATTGGCATCATGATTGTGGAGCAGCTGGACCAAATTTCCAGGTCCAGTTAGAAGTCAAGGGGAAGGTAGTGCTCTCTGTCTCATCCTCATTGCACCCCTACTTGGTATTTAAATATGATTATTTTGTAACCTTTGGTGTCTCAGAAACCACTCCCTGAAAGCCCTGACGCCTCACAATCCATTTTTAGAGTGTCTAAATATTAGTTTAACTCATTAGCAGACCATAGAATAATAGAGCTGGAAGAGACCTCAGGAGGTCATCAAGTCCAACTCCCTGCCCAAAGCAGGACCAATCCCAACTAAATCAACCCAGCCAGGGCTTTGTCAAGCCGAGACTTAAAAACCTCTAGAGATGGAGATTCCACCACCTCCCTAGGTAACCCATTCCAGTGCTTCACCATCCTCTTAGTGAAATAGACCTAGACCTCCCCCACTGTAACTTGAGACCATTGCTCCTTGTTCTGCCGTTGGTCACTACTGTGAACAGCCTTTCTCCATCCTCTTTGGAACCTCCCTTCAGGAAGTTGAAGGCTGCTGTCAAATCCCCCCTCACTCTTCTCTTGTGCAGACTAAACAAACCCAAATCCCTCAGTCTCTCCTCATGGCTGCCCAAATCATGTTGTCTTTGAAGTGAGGAAGAAAGCAAGAGAGTATTCAATAAGACCTGCAGCTGGATTCTGTGCTGCATCTGTAACCACCACTAGGTGGATTTGAACCTAGAATCTCTGGAGCTTAGTGTAGGAGCCTCTACAGCCGTGGTCACCAACCAGTAGATCGCGATCTACCAGTAGATCTCGGAGGCTCTAAGAGTAGCTCTTGAGCCCCCTCTGAACTGTGCGCCTGCGCAATACATTTACATTAGATTTTCTCATTTGAGGAGCAGCTACTCACTGAGCAACAGCACAGATGAGGAGCTGCGAGGAATGGTGGGAATTTTTTTTTAAGTAGCAGTATAAGGATTGGGGATAGCAAGTGATGGAAAAGAGGAGAATAAAGAGGGAGGGGCTTCAGTGAAGGGGCGGGGTGGTAGATCTTGGCTTGGTCTGTCATTTAAAAAGTGATCTTGGGTGTAAAAAGGTTGGAGATCACTGCTCTACAGCTTGAGTGATAAAGTCAGCTGGCTCTCAGCTTAGGCTGCAGAGCTCCTTTGTTCTTGTCTCTCACTGTAATTGGTCTAAGTGCCCCAACATGGAATAGCGAGCCACACCAGATATGTGGGTTACACACCTCCTGAAGGATGCAGGATCAAAAACATGGCCCAAGGGAAAGGAGATGAATGAGGCAGTATAAGTGGTGGTGTTTCTTCGAGTGGTCCTCATGGGTGCTCCACTCTTGGTCTCGAGCTTGTCCCAGCGTCACTGGTCAGAGGTTTTCAGTAGCAGTTGTCAGCCGGATCACGCATGCACTGTCAGTGTCTTGCAGCTTTCGTGCCTTTGATCTCGTGGTCCAGCTCCCGCCAGTTCCTTTCAACCATCCTCAGTTGCTGGCGGAGCTTCCCTGTTCTCCTCACTGAAGCAGCTTCTGTGTTTTGTTTTTTTTTAAAGTGATAGAGTTTCATGTTAGGTTAATAGTTAACAGTAGTTAGTTAGTTGTTAGTTATTTAGTTAAAAACAAGGACTTTGAAATTGACTACGGGTTCACGCTGATCAAGTGAAACTGACATGCCTGGCTCCTCAGGCTTCAAAAAGTGTTCCCGCTGCCGGGAAGCTATGCTGGCATTGGATGGGCATGCAGCTTGTATCCGCTGCCTGGGAGAAGCTCACATCCCTCAAAAATGTGAGCACTGCCTAAATCTAATGACCAGGGCACAGAGAGAGGGAGAGAAATGCGCCTGAAGATGTTTTTATTTGATAAAGCCCTGCAGCCTTCAAGCGGCATTCCACCACCAGCTTCAAAGGCTATGGGGGCACAAAAGAGAAGCACTTTGTCCCCCAGGCCATCCTCAAAAAGAGCGAGAGCATCTCCCACTCACTCACTACCTGCTGCACCCTCGACAAGGGTCAGCAGAGGGGACAAGCTGAGCATGTCAGGATCCGCTGCCCCTAGAACGACTACCGGAGCTATGGCAAAAAAATCAGCCACCCTGGCAAGTGCCATGCTGGCATGGAGGGCAGCATCGGTACCGGCACCGAGAGTCGAGTGCAGGGACAGCTCGGCACCACCAGCACAGCTGGGGGCACCGGAAGCACAGCAGACACCGGCACCAAGAGCTGCGCATAGAGACGGCGCGACACCACCAGCACAGCTGGCGGCACTGGAGGCATCGGCACCACGGGGAACAGCTACCCTGGAGGCACTGTATATTGCTGGTACCACACAACGGGGAATCACGACAGTCTCTAGCACTGATAGTGCATGACAAAGGAGACCATGCCGAGCCAGACAGTGGCGCAGTTGCGGCACCGAGGAAAGCTGCTTGTAAAACAACCATGCGCCTGTCATCTCTCTCTCCATCTCCAACTTCCTCCCCGGCACCATCTCCTTCGCCTCCTAGGCACTATTCCCCCATACATGGGGGCAGACAGTACCGCAGCACTCAGGGATCTTACTGCGACACAGTCCCAGATCTTTGAGGCACCACAGGTCGCCTCATTATAGATACTTACCTCCATTATCTGCAAGATGTTCGCCTCGCTTACCATGCTCATCAAGGCATTCTCCCTGCACAGTTTATTATAGACATCATAATTATAGACATCAAATTATAGTTCTTTCCCAGCCTACTCTGACCATTACCATGATCGCTACCACAGATCTCACAGTTACTATAGGTCCCGCTCCTATGTCCAACCTACATGCTGCTGCCACTCCCTGGACTATTGACACATTCCAGCAGGATCTCACACACAGCAGAAGGAATACAATCCCTCACCTTCAATCAGTCCTCAGGCACAACAGTCTGAACCCAAAGAAGGACAGATATCTGAAGCTGAGGATCAACCTCAGCAGACATCACCGACAGACCAGTCTTCATCTTCTCCCGATGAGGCAGTCTTCCCTGAGGATATGTTCCCCACCCCAGATGACCTGAAACAGTTTCAAGAACTGTTCAAATGAGTCAGGAGGTACAGCTGGCAGAGGTCTCAGGAGGTACAGCTGGCAGAGGTGCAAACCAAGCAATATCGCCTGCTGAAGAATCTCCATCCACAACAACGTTAAAAAATTTCTCTTCCAATTGACGAGGCAATCATGGAGGCCGCAGATGAAATATGGCAAACCCCAGCTTCTGCAACCACAACTAGTAAACAGGCAGACAAAAAATATTTCATCCCATCCAAAGGCCTTGAGTTTCTCTTTAATCACCCGCAACCTAATTCCCTGGTTCGGAATGCGGCTCAACAAAGGTTGAAGGCGTCACAATTCAGAACCATTGGTGCAGACAAGGATGCAAAGAAACTCGATATCTTAGACAGGAAGGTCTACTCCTCTGCCACCCTACTTCTGTGTATAGCAAATTATGCTGCCCTAGTTTTCAATCATAATTTCAATAATTATTCAAAATTAACGGAGTTGGCTCATTATCTCCCAGATTCCAAGGAGCCAATCTTAAAGTCAGTGGTACATGAAGGTTATAATGCATCTAGGGCAGGACTTCAAATTGCAATGGATGTCGTGGACACGGCAGCATGCTCCACGGCCACAGCTATTTCCATGTGCAGGGCATCTTGGCTAGCCACAGCTGGAGTCCCCAAAGAGCTGCAAGGCAAGGTGGAGGACCTTCCGTTTGACAAACAAAAAGCTTTTTGCAGAGAAAACGGATGAAGTCCTCCACTCTGGAAAAGATTCCCGTACAACCTTACACACTTTAGGGATGTACACCACTCCATTTAGGTGCAAGGAGTATTATCCGTACCCAAGAAGATACAGACACCAGTATTAGAGGCAACAGCGCACCCATACGAACAGACACATCCAAAACAGCGACCCCAGCGTAGACAGCCTCAACCTGTACAAGCGACTAATCCACCTTCCGTGAAGCAGCAGGTTTGACTCCTCAGTCGAGGGCATTCAAACATCTCACATTGTCATAAACCAACATCATATTCCTTCCTTGTTCCACCATCTATTACGGCCCTTTTACCATCAGTGGGCCGCAATAACATCCGACTGATGGGTTTTGGAACTTGTGGCATCCAGATTCACAATTCCACTTACCTCCATTCCTCCTACTACCCCACCAACCCTGTCCATTTTCAGGGACCCATCTTACGAGGAACACTTATGACAAGAAGCCCACCGTCTTCTCTCCATTGGGACAATAGAGAGAGTTCTGAAACAATTCAGAGGAAAGGGGTTTTACTCCCGCTATTTCCTAACTCAAAAGAAGTCAGGCGGATGGAGACCCATTCTAGACCTGTGGGGACTGAATCGTTACCTCTGGAAACAAAGGTTCAAGATGGTGATGCTAGCTTCAATTATCCCATCATTGGACAATGGGGATTGGTTTGCAGCCCTCGACCTGCAAGATGCTTATTTCCACATCGCCATACACCCAGCACACAGGTGATTCCC